AGCCTTTTGGGACTATTTTGTATGAATTTCTAATCAAAGCATAAGCAAGAAGGAGTGTCAAAAAGTGATCACGGCCTACTCCGCACTACTAATTAAGTAGCGAGAGAGGGTCGGAGCAGCTTTTACCCGATTTAGGGTCGGGATCGATATCCACAAAGAGCTAGAATATGGAATCGAGTATCTATCTAGTGTAGAATTGCGTATGTGTTCCAAATTACACTTCTAATCATTTTTGGGGTTTTTGTTTAACTTCTAATTTTATCAACTACTACGCTAATGTAAACTAGAATAGGCTAAGAGTTATAATGCTACGGGCTGTTCAAATGGTTTAAAAGGCACTAGGGTAGTTACTTCCACCTAGGTGGTCAATTGATGGGTACTTGAATCTAAGGCACGTTTGACATATTTGGGGAGTATGATATAACCGTTGCACGACTTTACCAACTCTACACCTCTCGGTGGTTCGAATAATTTTACCAGAATTGGCTTTCTCAAGACCAATTGGGTATGCAAATTTGCACAAGCAACTAGGGTTCAAGTCGAGTATTACTCTCTCGAGGTTTAACCTTTTAATTGGGGCTATCGATCTCTTGAGTACGCCCCAATTCCTTGTTGGACCAATTTCGGAGGCTTAGGCTCTCTTTCTCAAGAAGAGCTCAAGTCAACTTAACACAAACTAGTGTTTGCAACCACTAATTCGGCAATTTTACCATGAAATTGGCCCAAATAAAAAACACCCATAGTCAATTTAGCCCTAAATTACAAGACCCATCAATTGCCCACACTAGGGTTGAGCCACAACCCTAGCTTATGGGTCTAGCTACTCATATTCAAAGAAGAAAAGCAAGAAATAGATGAAGCTAAACTCATATTAATTAATTACTAAGGTAAACACAAAGATTCAATGACTAAAAGTAGCTAAAATTGCCCAAAATAGCTAAGAATCTCGAACCCACGAGCGCAGCTGCTTAATTACAATATCTGATACCCTAAAAATGGGAAAAGAAACTATTTATACTAAGATGAAAAATTTGGACAAAATTGCCCCTGCGGAGTTAGTGCGGACCGCACAAAATGGACCGCGATCCGCACTAGGGCTTTGGACTTGAAAAGAACCTTGGCATCGCGGACCGCAGAGATGGACTGCGGCCGCGGAGGCTTCTAGTGCGGTCCGCATAAAAAGGACCGCGGACCGCATTGGCTTGACATCCTAAAAATTGCAGCTCTCTAATTCTCCTCACTGCGGACCGCAGAGAATGGACTGCGGCTGCGTTGATCTCAGTGTGGACCGCACAAAATGGTAGTGCGGCCGCACTGCCTCTTTGCCTGGAAATCCACCTCTCTAAATCTCCCAGTGCAGACCGCACAGAATGTAGTGCGGCCGCACTGGCTTTATTTAGCCTGAGCTTTGTCTTGTCTTTGGAACTTGTGCAAGTTTCACTCCTTTTGAGCCGATCTTTGACATCTTGTCACTTTATTGATCAAACCTGCAATCAAGCACAACTTGTGAGCCTTTTGGGACTATTTTATATGAATTTCTAATCAAAGCATAAGAAAGGAGGAGTATAAAATGCGTCAAAATCCCTAGTTATCAACGTATATTCGGGTTGAGTATCGGATGGTCCAGGAGCGTTTCGGCGCCTAATGTGAAAAGTTAGAATTTCGAAGGTTTTAGAATTTCCTAAGTTTGATTTGAAGTGGAATTTGGTGTTATCGATGTCCGTTTGGGATTCCAAGCCTTAAAATAGGTTCGAATTGTGATTCGGACGTGTTCGGCAAAGCATGAAGCTTGAAAATTAAGATAGTTTAAGAAATTGAGTTCTATCTTTAATTCTTTGTTTCAATGTTGTAATTCGTGTTCTGAGCCTTTGAACAAGTTTTCATAGGGTATATAAACTTGTTAGAATGATTGGATAGGGCTCCTCGGACCTCGGGTGAGTTTTGAGGTGGTTTCGGACCACTTTTATGCCCTTTTGAACTGTTGATATCTAATGACATGGTGTGAATCACGATCGCGGAGGTCTGGGTCGTGATTGCGAAGAGCATATTGCATTCCAAGCTTTGTGAATCGCGATCGCGGAAGGAAGGTCGTGATCGCGTAAAAGAAATTTCTTCCATCAGTGGTCTGACTTCGAGAGCTTATATCTGACAATTTATAAGGAATTTAGCAATGATCCAAAAATAAAAATTGTATCTCTTTAAATCTGTTTTCCCAAAAATTAAACTGTTTGTTATTTGGAATTTTGTAGAAAAACTTATGACCTTTATACCGAAGAGTCTCAATAAAGAAGAAAATAACAAGTGTTCATCGCGATCGCGGAATTTTGGACGTGATCGTGATGAAAGAACGATGCTGGAACATTTGTTAACCGTGATCGCATGTCAAATGACCGCGACCACAAAGGAGGCCTGGCAAGTGTATTTAACATCTAATTTAGCGTTATTGAACTCATTCTTCACTTTTAAGTTCTTGGAGCACGTGTAAGGCCATTTGGGATGATTCTTGATGACCATTCTCTCCATATAACATAAGGTAAGTTATTCCTTTTGAGTTAAATACATGGGTTATATAGAGATTTTAACATGGAATTTGATATAAATTGTAGAATTTTTGGGAAAAAACCTAGAAATGTTATTTTTGGATTTTGACCGTGAAAATAGGAATAAATTATATATTTGGGTTTGTGATGATATGGGTAACGTCAATCTTCAAAATATTTCGGAATCCAGACATGTGGGCCCAGGGTTGACTTTGTTGACTTTTCGAGCGGAGTCGAAAATTATTATAAATTGATTAATTATGAGTATTGGAGTATATTTTTATTGGTTTGCACATTGTTTGACTAGTTTCGGATTGTGGGCATCGACTTGAGGTGTAAGAGAGGCGTTGGTTATAGGACTTCGAAGCGAGGTAAGTCTCTTGCCTAACCTTGTGAGGGGATAACTACCCCGTGGGTATTAAATTATTATGTGATATTAGTGTTGGGTGCTACGTATACACGAGGTGATAAGAGTCCATACGTAGCTGAAAGCATGTTTATGTCTGGGTAGACTAATGACTTTATCATGCAATATTTGTATTGTTTAAACTCAATTTGTTAGTTTTTTACTTGAATTTACAATGTGAATCGATTTGGGATTATGTTAGACCGAGCTTCACCACCTTGAGATGTTTGGCGAGATATTTTATAGTCGGTAAAAGACATTATACTTTATGCTCTTGTTCATGTATTGCAAACACGTGGCCCGCAATTCGATAAGTTTCTTCTCTTTCTCATGATCGAGCCAAACGCCTCGCCAGTATATGTATAGATGAGATACATCCATAGATCGGGTCGTACGACCTCGGTAGTGTATGTACACGACTATATAGATCAGGTCGAACGACATCGGCATAATTCGTGCGTAAAATCGCTAGGGGTCTGAATGCCAACGAGATTTTCCCTCTTGATTGAACTTGGAAATTATATGATATCCCCTTGTGATCGGAGATTGGATAAATTACTTGACAGCTCTTATTTGTTGAGATTGCATGTACTATATGGAAATTTTAAATTGATATTTCGTTGAAGGCTCACGTTAATTATTTTTCTTATTCTATTGATGTTGTTGTACTTCATGTCTACATATAATTCTTGTATTTTATTTATTGGACTACTGGTAAGTGTCGATGTCTACCCCTCGTCGCTACTTCTCTAGGATTAGGCTAGATACTTACTGGGTACGCGCTGATTTATGTACTCACGCGACACTTCTTCACTGAACGTGCAGGATCTGACAGGTTCATTTGGTGCGTAGGCGCAACTGCTGAGGGACCTTATGGTGAGTTTCTTTCTATGCTACGTATCGCAGCCCTCAGAATCTCTATCTTATTTATTTATTTTATTCTGTCTATTTTATTTTCCAGACAGTTGATGTATTATTATTGCACTTCATAGTAGACGCTCATGCACTTGTGACATCGGGTTTCGGGATGTTCTAGGATTCTTTATGGTTTGCCTTACATTGACACATTTTTACTTTATATTTTATCCAAATGTCTGTATTTACGTTTTTAATGCATTAATTTTATGTCTAATAAGATTCATGATTTTTTTAAAAATAAAATGAATAATTAAGTTGGTAGTTCACCGTTGGCTTGCCTAACAACGACGTTGGGCGACATCACGACCTATAGTGGGTTTTGGAGTCGTGACAAAATAGGTATGAGTTAAAAATTAGAGCCTCGTGAGTTAAAGGTGAGCATGAGTTAAAAATATTGGAGCCCTGCGTTGAAAGTGAGCAGAGTTAAATACAAGTATGAGTAAAAAGTTAAGAGGGTTAAAAGTCGAGTCCATGCGTTAAAAGTTAGCATAAGTTAAAAGTATTGGAGCCTTGCATTAAAAATCATGAACAAGGTTAAAAATGGAGCCCATAAGCATGGCTTAAAATAGTTTTTGTTTTTGTATATGCAACAATAAGATTTATGAAATATGGCTGGACATTTATCTCCACGCGTAGAATTCTGAGTTTTTTTTTTTTTGGGATAAAAAATCTTCTGTATCGTCAAAATTGGGTTGCTTGATCTGAATCCACCTTGAACCTGTCTTCAATCTCGCTTTGAACTATTAGCTATGATACCATTTGTTGGGGTAAAAAGGCATCATGCGGAAGCTAATAAAGTAAACCTTTTTTGACAAAAGAATTATACTAAAAGAGACATAGCTTACTTTAATATGATTTGGGCAATTGATGACCTACATCAATCACTAATATAAAAGAGAGGAAAAAACTTATCGGGGAGAATACATTCTCCCCCTAAACAAAAGTCTTTTAAGGACTACATTATGGATGCTATTGTGTTTTTGTGTATAATGGTGAGATCCTTAATTTATAGAGGTCACAACTTTTTCTTCCAAGAAAGCGATATGTCAAATATAAAAAAGATCTACAATTTTCTGTAAAACAATTATGGTTAATATTCTACCCTTCCTTCAAGTAAAAGAATAAATCCAAATAAGTTAAGAAAATCAGGACAAATTCCTAGCAGAATGCGGTCACACACTTGTAACTTGCACTGTGATACACAAGCAAAACCTCATTCTGTACTATTTTAGGTTGACGAACTCAGTGTCAAGAGACAACAAATTGAGCAGAATGTGTATGTCAGCTAGCTCTAAGATAAATCCCAAGGATATTTGTGGAGAATCTAACACGAGTGAGGTAACGTTTTTGGAACATTCGAGCAACATAGTTTGTCAGTCAAAAGGACATCACAAAAAACTCCTAAAATCTGTACTGAAAACTATCTTAAGTATATCTTCTTCCCTAATTCTAAGATGTTGATGAGCAGACCGAAGATCCATCTCTGAAAGGTGGATAGCTCCATACAGGTCATCTATATATGCAATCACCTCATCAATCTCAAATTGAGCTGCAACAAGGGTGTCTTCTTTCCCTCTCTCACCCAATCATCCTTCCGAATCTACGTGCATCTTCGCCTTGTCATGCGGCCAAATATATACATAGGAACACTGAAGAGAAGCAAAATCTTCTACAGCTACATTGCCATCTTCTACCAACAAACTCTCTTTAACAGCAAGCTCTGCAAGAGCAACACTACGTAGCCACTCAACAACCCGCCCCATACTGAGGCCTGTGGTTTATATATGGGATCTTAGTGAAAACACCAACACTCTGCATAAACATCACATATCAGCAAGTACAATGCCAATAATCACATCTGAGTCCAATCAATTAGTCTCCATAATATAATCACAAATCAACTTCACTTGATCAAGAGCCCCTAAATGAACACAGGCTGCAAGTGCCTTGGTCAAATAGTACTCATCAGGACTAACTCCACACCCTAGCATATTTTGAAAAATAACTAGTGCCTGCCTCCAGGGTCAAAGACTAGACCGTGTTGAAGTTACTCATCTATAACAACATTACAGTGATGAAGTTGAATCCATGATTTAGTCGCTCTGACATCACTTATTCAATTATAGCTGTTTTCTATGTATTTACTTATCCATCAATATAATTTACATGTCAACAATAAAATTTGATTTGACATTTAGAATATGTGCAATTCCTTAAACTTCACCTAGTTCAGCTGCTTTTCAACTTCAAATTCATTTCCAGTCATATGTTCAGTTGAACCATATAGAATCAATTACAGTAATTGGAGTTCAAGGATATCTTGCTGTAAAATGTTATATGACTCTGCATTGGCTTATTATATCTCAGTTCTCTTAAATGTTACAGGTTCAAAAAGAAGGAACAGAAAGTAATAAAGACAATTACTGCAAGTGAAAAGACTGGATATTTCAACTCGACTCCAAAAGATGAGTAACCAAAATATACAAGCAAGGAAAGTTGCATTTGTCAACTCTCAACAAACAAATAACGCTCTCCATTGGAAGCGGCAAACATACTATCTCTTGGTTGCATCACCATTGCTAAAACCTAAATTCAGCCAAAAGAAGAAAGAAATGCTAGGGCACAATCCTGGAAATGATTTTGAATTTACTTTCCAGTTGGCAAGCATAACGTTTCACGATAGAGTCTTCACCACCGACCATTTGGAAGTGGGAACATCTGCCATCAGTTCTTTTGCCACTGTCTACCAGCAAAATGCCATTGTCGTCAACAAGTCATGAAACAAGATGCAGGATCAAAATACAACTTTAGAAAACACCAACAAACAGAAGTCAAAGCAATGCTGAATTAGAATATTGCACAGTCGAACAGGATTAATTTGAGGACTAACGTTCTTGATAAAGCCAAACCTTTAGACAAGAAAGCAACCAACTCTAAAGATCTTTGTTTTAATCTTTCATTCCTCAATTTATAGCATTCTGTACTCTCCATCATAACTATTGTACACTTTTTATTCAAATAGATTAAAGGCCTAACGACTGTCCCTTATCACAGATTGTTAGTGACTTAGGCATGAAACATATAATCTGGCAATACTCAAAGATAGATGAACGATATGAACTTAGTAATTTCACTTTTAGATGAAAAGACTAGTGTTGTCATAGACTTGTTATCATACACAAAAAGACCAAGTAACAAATTTACAACACAACTATCATTGTAGAATCACATTCCTATTAATAAAATGTGTCTCATGCAACTTGCAGAAGTTTATCCAGCTGGTTAATGAAAAAAAAAAGGAAGAGTACATTATTCAAAAGAGGATCAAGTATGCTGACCTTTAGACGATGCAGGTATTACAACAACATGCATAGTTGCATTGTTTGGAGGTAATGCTAAACGAAGAGGATATAAATTTCCATTAAATTTGTTCCGCGAACAAACAATAATATTCTCCAGACCTGTTTCTTTCTCCAACTTTTGAGTCAATTCCTCTAATCCATGACCTTTGAACTGAAAAGAAGGCCCTTCCACTGAATCATTCGCATTTCCATTTTCATCTGGCACATGATAATAGATTAGCCGACCTTCAGACTTCAGTGCGGACTGCATGTTTAATAGAAATCCATGAGTTTAGGTTTATACATCCCAGTGTGAATGATCTTTTCATTATGAAACACTTAAAGTCAATCACAGATAACTTTCTAAAATCAAGCGTAGATCGATAACCTACAAAGATGGTAAGTAACCTGTTGCAGTGTCTATAAGTTAAATCCAAGGGCTCGTTTGGTTACTGAGAAATAATGAAATTTGGAATTATTCTATATACTTTTCTGGTATAAGTAATACTACTAACTATGTTGAAATGCTGATATAATTTTATAGCTCAACTAACAAACCAAGGATTAGCCACACCTGGATAAAACAAGTAAATTGTTGCCCTTGTGCCAAAACCCTTTTCTTAATTAAGAAGGTCAAGGTTAAAATTGAGAACAAAGTTTATCAACATTTATCCAGTTTAAAACCAAATACCAGTTTTAGATAATACACGGAATACCCCATTTTTAATGTAATGAACCAAATAAATCACAAGTAGTATATAGTTCAGGGATTATTAATCCGAGCATAATTTTGGCCACGATCGAACCAAACGAATCCTAAATCTATTACCATAAGGAAGATTTCATTTGGCATCACCAATATAGAAGACAAACCTGAGTCCTGGAAAATTTAGCAGTGGTAAGATGAAAAGATGAGCTCAAATCATCACCCACTGATTCCGATCTCGAAATGCTTTCAGGCGATTCAGCTGGCAATAACTCAACAGTATCAACTTCCCATAAGATCCAATCTTGATGCCTATGAGGTATATCATGTGTAACTGAATTTCTCCAAGGTGGTAATCCACTATTTGCCCTTAAATAATTCCCATATCTTGTTTTCAGCTTTACAAGGGAACCTTCTTCTTTCATTGGTTCCCACTCAACTGATGAATCTAGTTTATTGGGAAAACTTTGTACAACTTTTTGACCCGTTACACCAAACAGAAATTGTTCATCTGAGGCTGTTAAGTATTTGCCATAACAACTCTTTAATCGGACAACATTCTCGAATCCTTCAGGGAATTCAACACTCCATTTTGCACTCCTTGAAGATCCAGTGCGATCTTGGTATACGGTTTCTTGATCAGGATCAGCTAGTAAGAATTTCTCGTGGTGGCTCCTTAGCCTAACAGATTTGGCTTTCTGGAAATATTCCATCTCCGAATTCTGCAATGGATGGGAAATTTTTTAAGAATCAGATATCCAAAAAAGAAATGATCTTTTTGATCGAGAGTTGCGCCACCTGTTGAGTATTTAGTGAAGAGGAGGATCCAGGTGGATAAATCAGTTTCCTGAGATGTGACAAGATGAGCAAATTGAGGAAGATAGTATAGATGTTAAGGTGTGAAACAAATGTTATTAATGCACGTAAGATGTTAATTAATTGCGTAACGGGCAGATAGGAGGTTAGGTAATTAATATGCTGGCTGTGTGAAATCTTTGACTTTAGCATTAACTTTTTCCTTTTTATGACCCTACATACTTGTATCTTTTCATCTTACATCAAAGTCGCATCCCATAACGTCAAAATTTCCAAATTGATTAGAATCATATTCACTAAACTAAAAAAGAATATTTACACTATATCACTATAGCTTTTAAGTGGTGTAATATATGGAGTACTTTCTTTTCGGACTATGCATTCACCATTATTATATACAAATGCATGTAGTAGCTTATTTTAAGCCCCTGTTTGACCATAAAATTGGGAGCTTTTTTTCAAATTAGTATTAGCACCCGCGTAGATGCACGAACACTAACCATGTTAAATATTTAAATTATTTGGATTATACGCAAAAAATATTAAAATTTAAACCTTCTCGATAAATATAGATAATCATTGGATATTATTTAAGAAATACTACATGAAAATGTAAACATTCTCAATTCTCCTCGTTATAATTCTATTTTTCTTTTTTATTACCATTCTTGCCGGTGTCATTGGATCCAAAAAATAGTCAGCAAGCAAAATAATAACTCATATTTATGGCAAAACAATCAAAGGTTGAGACTATGAAGGACTCTTTGGATACGACTTTACTCTTTTACTACTGCTTGAACTCTTATGTGGTGTGTTGATATTTTCTAAAAATTATTTCTATTTTAAATTTTAGATTTCTAAAACTTTATTTTTCAATAATAATTATTTTTATAACAATGTAAGTGAAAATATTATCCTTAATTCAAAACTCATTTAAGTCGGCTATCTAAATTTGAAAAATCCTTTAGCCAGTGATTTTCTTTCTAGTATGACTCCATTTTGATATTTGACATTAACCATGTTAAATATGTGAGTTATTTGAATTATATGTAAATAACCTTAAAATTTAAAACTTCTAGATAATTATAGATAATCGTTAGATATTGTTTATGAAACACTACATGAAAAAAGTCTAACATTTTATCAAATCTCTTAATGATAATTTTATTTTTGCTCCATTCTTATTGGTGCCATTGAAACCTAAAAATAGTCACAAAGCGAAATAATAACTCGTACTTATGAGCTCTGGCAAAGCACAAAGGTTGGCACAATATGAACGATTCTTTGGTTATGACGTGACTATTTTACTACGACTTGAATTCTTATTTGGTATACTATTATGTTTAAAAAAACATATTTCTATTTTGAAATTTCAATTTCTACAACACCATATATATTTCAATAATGATTATTTTTATAATGATGCAAGTGAAGGTATTTTTCTTTATTTAAAATTCACTTTAATCGGCTATCTAAAATTTAAATGATTCTGTGGCCGGTGAAATTTTATTTCAGTATGACTCCATTTTGAGTTAATCGATATCTCTAGCCACATATTGTAAAATTATGAATATCCTATAGTACATATACAGGTTTTTTATTCTTTGAATTATTAAATGTTATATTAATTGATTGTAATTATATAACATTGCATATATTATCTTAAAATTGCCAAGCAGTTTTTTCTCGACACCATACTTGGCGTAACTCAATGCAAACTACTTAAATTACAATTAAATTCAAATTCGAATATCATATCAGTTTGTTAGTAATAGTGATTTTTTAAAAACGACATACAATGTAAATAAAAAAAATATTTTAAGATATCCTAGTCTTATGATCTATGTATTTGAGTTGAAAAAAATATTTAAAATTAATGAGATCGGTTTCCAAAGTTTTTACTCTCAACAAAGATGAAACAGAAGAAGAAATTCGTAGTCGTCTCTTATTTCTGGTTTTTAGATTTTTGATACATTTTTTTATATTTATTTTCTTTTATCATATTGTTTATGTTTTTCTTTCTTTTGTTACACAAAATTAATTTATTTCGTAATAAAAGGACGAGTTTTTAATAGAAATTATCTACATAAGAACTTTATTTATATTTTTAGTCTTTGGTTGAAATTTTGTCATATTTTTCTTTTGGCTTTATCTTATCAACCTAAACAGGTGCTCACCCAACCACTTAAATTAAAAAATTAAGGATGTGT